TTAAGAGAAGCAGCTAAAATGTTCGTTCGAAGTCAGTTCAGTTTGAAAGATTGGGGATAATTAAAAAAGGCATTGAAGAGTTTGGCGAACTATTATCGGCATCAGAAATCCACCGAGTTTTGAGAAATCGTCGTAAGGGTCAGAATGAAAGCCTTCGTGAGTATTTATATGCTCTGATGGAAATTAGACTAATTTGTTGAAGGCATACCTGATTCGCGATTCAATAAAAGCATTTTATATCAGGCAAAGACGGTTGAGCAGATTAAGATCTATGAAAAGGTGCGTAACTCGTCGAATAAGGATAATAACAAGAACATATCCCCGGAAGTTAATGTTAAGAAGGAAAAGGGTGGTGGAAGTAGAAATTGTTTTTAATGTGGAAGTTCCGATCACATGGCAAAGAACTGCGATCAAAGGCAATTCAAGTGTTTCCGATGTAACGATTTCGGCCATCGTGCGGCAGACTGTAATGTCGAACGTCGAAAATTGAAAGGTGCTGGTCTAGGAGTATTTTATTCTGAAGGTTACTTTGATGCAACAGTTTATATTGATAATATTCCGTTGAAAATGCAATTTTACGTTGTGAAATCTGAGGATATAGGGTATCCAGCTGTTTTAGGCACTAACCTACTGCAGTATGTAGATTTCTTAATATCTGAGAAAGGAGTAAGGTTGATTCCTAAGGCCACAGATGAAATTGAAAGTGGAATAATTGAAGTTGACTATACCAAAGTTGAAAACCCAACTGACGTACGAAAAAGAATGAATTATATTATGGCGGATCAGACGAATAGTGTTGCGTCGGTAAATGGTAAACTAAAGGAAAGAATGCTGACATCAATCGGCTAAAAGAACCGGATGCAAAATTCGACGCAAAAATTTTTATAATATTGGTGAAACTAGAGCGGATGAAGAGATTAACGCCGGGATGCACCTGAGAGAAAACCGCAGAATCAAAGGGAAATGTGAAATCAAAAATCCTGTTTCTATAAAGCGTACCCAATATGACGATAACAGAGATCAAAGAGGAAAATACTATCTTCGTGAAATTGACAAAGTTGGCAATGAAGAAGGTTAACTTGTATGAAACGACCGTTACATTTAGGACTGTAAGAGAGAATAAGACGACAATATAAATTATATGACAATAGATCGTTCTAGAAATAAGAGAGCTTGACGAGACCATAAAAAACGGACGAGTAGCTTTCGATAGACGGACGTTTTCGTCTATAATAGGGTAGGCCAGCAGCCGCCGAAAAGTAAAGTTATAGACTCGAAGTTAAAAGTTGATATAAGTTGTGGAGTTGATTTTATATTAAAAGTGGTTAAAAGTTGTGAAGTGAATTAATTGTATATTGTGTATTTAATTTGACTGTGAAAATATTTAAAGTTAATATTATATTTAATTATTAAATATAAAACCCCTAGACTTAAGTAAATATTTTATAATAAACCTATTAAATTAAAACAAATTGTGTTTAATTTATGTCATCAAACATCGGAATAATATAATCCCACATAAATTATATAGCAAAAAATCGCCGAATCTCCTGTACCCACCATCAAACCGCATGCCGTAAAAGGAATGCTCCTCTATAAACATCAGAGTGATATTACTCATCAAATTAACTGAAGACGACCTTATATGAGAGGTAGGGTGAATTATTGATCGTTTTATATAAAATTTTTTAGACCGATTTAGGTTCATATAAAACTTGTTTACATCGAATACCATCGCTGTAATCGCATTTAATGCCAGTAATTAGTGTTAGAAGGATTTTAACTCGTATAAAACTTATGTGTGTCGAATTTCATTGCTTTAGTCGTATTTCTAAGCCAGTAATGAGCTCTTAAAGTCATTTTCTGAAGGGGAGCTTATATGGGGATCAATTATATGCCGAATCTCATAAAAGTCAGTAAAAAGGTTTTGGCTCGTAAGAAACTTATTTATGTCGAATTTCATCTCTATACTAGTAATTATAGGGGGAAGGGTGAATTATATACCGATCCATATACAATTTTGTAGAGAGGTTTTGGCTCGTCAAAGACTTTCTTATTTAAAATTTCATCGCTATACTCGTATTTGTAAGCCTGTAATGAGAGTTAAAGTTATTTTCTGAAGGGGACCTTATATGAGGAGTAGTGTCAATTATGGACCCATCCACATAAAATTTGGTAGAGGGGTTTTGGCTTGTATTAAACTTACTTACGTCAAATTTCATTGCTATACTCGTATTTTTAAGCCAGTAATAAGCGTTGAAGTCATTTTCTGAAGACGACCTTAAGCTGGAGGTTCACACCACGCATTCTACGCTTCTTCGCGGCTGTCAAAAAAGTTGTATCAATGTTGTTGTGTGCTACAAGTTACAAGCACAAATGCGTAGGATGCCTTGACGCGTAGAATACTTAAAGTAGATCTACTTTCTACTTTTGTAAGCGTCATAAGCGGCGCACGAATATGTCAGCTGATTTTGACAATTTATATTCTATTTTTAATGTGCATTTATCAATTTTAATGAACTAAAACGAGTTAAATTGTGAAAATATAAATAAAAAACTTAAAAAAACACGAAGTTCTTTGTAAATAAAGTAAAAAATTTACGCTTAAGAAGCGTAGCATGTAACTTGATGCGTAGGATGCAAAGAAGGTATGAAAAGCACGAAATGCTTTGGTGCGAAGACGCGTAGTGTGGACCTCCAGCTTTATATGGAGGGTAGGGTCAATATGAACCGATCCACATAAAATTTGGTAGAGAGGCTTTCGCTCATAAGAGACTTCCTTATATCAAATTTCATCGCTATACTCGCATTTTCAAGCTCACATGAAACTTATAAGCAGATATGCCCGTTAAAGCTGTTTTTGAGGGTCCACTTATATGGGGGGTATCCGAAAACGTAGACCTATATTAACCATTTTCAATACCAAACAAACCTTTCCTGTAGAGAATATTTATTCCTTTCGGACTCTATCGTGTTTTCAACAAACAGACGAACGGACATGGCTAGATCGTCATAGAATTTAATAAGAACCCAAAATGTATATACTTTTGTGGGTCTATGACAAATATTTCGATGTGTTACAAACGGATACCCACCATCCTCTTTGGTGGTGGGTATAAAAACAGATATATATGATGATATACAAAACTGCAATAAGGTCAGTAAAACCGTTGAAAATTTAATCTTCAAATGCGAATATCTCCTAAGCTATAAGATACAATTGATATAGTAATCGATGAGTATATTCTATATGTGTAAGTTTTTTGTGATCAGAATACAAACGTAGAAATGCCTCGCATTGCGGACATCTGACCCTTTTTTGGCGTAGACGGGTAAAATTTTGAAATGAGATGTATTATCTCTAATCAATCAAAAATCAATAATGTAAATGTACATTATTTGGTCTCAGATTAATATTTCTCAATGTTAAACAAGGAATAACAAACTCATATGTACTGGGAAAAAACGGTTTTTATTGCAAATTTCGGTTTATCGTGAACCGATTTGTGAAAACGTCGATTTTCTGTTAATCCGATTTCTGAGTCTCGTTTTACCGGTTTCAAAAAATTTTAAATTTTAGTACCAAATCGTATGTTTTATTTGATCCTTTCAGAAATAGTAACAGAAAACTATTCTTACAAAAACTTATATAAAAATGTAATTTTTTTTAAATTTCATATACAAAATTTTAATTTTTTGTATAATTATATATTAAAGTCAGATTTGAAATATGTATGTATGTTCAGCGGATTAAAAAACAATTTTATTCTCAACCCAATTATATTGTCAATTATGTTGATTACAAAATGCTTAATTCTCAAGCTTGGTATTCTGTTCAAAATTTCACGTGAAATTTTTAAAAACTTCATACAAAAAAATTTTATGGAAAAATGTTGCTGATTTAGTACTTTGTTTGTATTGTTGAAAAACATGTGAAATGTTTCTAACAACATTTCAGCAACATTTTTTCAATTGTATGAAATAATATAGACTCTAGTAAGTTCACATGAAATTTTAAATAAAAGTTTATTAACATGTCTTTAATTATTGGAGACCATGTGTCGTCCAATATCCATTATATATTACGTTTTATTTCATAACAAAGAATAAATAAGAAATGAAACTGTTGTCAAAAGTACCTAAGTCTACTGTCATCCGGTACCTAACTCTAAGAATGTATTAGTAGAATTCTCAAGTCAACATAGTTGCAAAAAATCGTATTGAAAAATATTGAAAAAAAAATTTTACATTTCAATTTATACTTTGAAAGGTTTCTTAAGATATTTTGCACATATTTTATCTACAAACATTTTATAAACACGTCTATTTGTTTTTTAATCTATAATATTGAAAAAATAAATTATTTATTTGAAATATCTTTTTCGTTTACCATACGAAAATTTACAACATTGTTTTTCTTAGTTTTAATTTCAACCAACAAAAATTCAATGTCAAAAAATAAAAAATATTTTTTTTTTCGTTTGTAAAAAATATATTATTTTCGGGCTATTAAATGTGTTTAAATTGTGCAAAAAAAATATAAAATATAATGTTAAGTGATAAAAATATTTCAAAGTGCTATTATCCTCAAATTTTCGCGAAAAAGTTTTGAAGATTGGAGAGAGAATAAAATTATTACATATGTGTTGGATTTACACAGCACTCGTCTGTGAGAAGAGCGTAATGTTATTGTTGTAAAAAAATGACAGCGTTTCACTTCTTGTTTATTCTTTGTTTCATAACTTAAATACAATTTTCATTCAAAAAAGTTTTTTCAAAACAAATTGAAAAAAAAATAATTTTCTTTTTAATTTATTTTTCAATTTAAATTTGCCAAACAAATCATTTGGTTTTGTTTGCGTATATAACCGATAAAAACGACTAATTTTATTATATCCCTAGGTAGATAACACTGATACATTTAAATTTTTCAAATGAAATTTTAAAAGTTTATAAACCTCTTTCACGACTTCAAACTTCTTTATACATTAAACTAATAGTTAATTTTTTCAGATATCAAACCCTATTCCGACGATTTTTTCATTTCAAAGGAACGTTTTACATCCATTACCTGTTTCTTAACATTCAATTTATTTGCTATGTTAGGAAGTTTAATGACATCTTGGTATCAATGGCCCAAAGCAAATTTGTTATGTATACCTGTCATACTGCGTGCTGTGTTTCTACCTTTGTTTTTGTTCTGCAATTATATACCGAAAAGTACAATAAGATCGCTTCCCGTGATTATTACTAACGACTGGGCTTACTGGCTAATAGCTATCATTATGTCCTTCAGCTCTGGATATTTAAGGTAATTTTTTTAAAAGAATTAATTACCAGTTATAATTGTAATATAATTTTAGCTCTTTGGGAATGATGTATGCTCCACAGATGGTATTACCAAAATATCAAATTACAGCAGGGATGTTTGCTGCTGCTATGTTAATAACGGGTATTTTTTCAGGAATTCTATTTTCTTTTATTTTACCTTCTTTGGTTGCTATTTAATCATTTTATTTAGAATTAGTAATATAAATAAATTCGCAACAAAACAGTAAAGCATTTTGTTTATTCGAAGTTACATACATATTTTTACGGTTGCTTATTATTTTCCATATTATTAACAATAGGTAAGTACTTTGCAGTATTTCACAAGATTTCTGCAAAAATAAATTTTTATAATTATTGAAAAAAAAATCAATCTATCTGTTCTGTTAAGTAAGGCGAAGTCATCAAGGCTGCTGATTTTTCTTTTTTCTTGGACCAGTACTCAGGGGATGACCCCTAATCATGCAATCATGCAGTGCATTGTGCTGGAACTAGGAAAATAGGTTGTGGGAGGGAGAATAGAGTTTGTTTACATTTGATTTAAACCTTTTCACATTGAAAGTGGCGGGGAATACTTCAGCAGGAAGTTTGTTCCACATACGAAGAGTGCGGCTGATCGATCACAAATGGGCGTGTTCTTGATGAAAAATATACGGCTATCGGGAATGAGTTTCCTATTTTTTATTTGTTAATTTAAAACGTGCATCGGTTGTGCCAAAATTAATCAATTAATCTTTATTCTGAAAAAAATGTTGTTTTTAAAGGAAAAAACAAACAGTGTACTTCGATACCCTCATCGAAATGTACTAAAATATACATATATTTTTATTGTAAATATATATACATATACATATCTGTAATATCAAAAAGTCCCCTTTTAGAGAAATCTATAAATTTGATTTTATGATTCTAGTGTCAATAACACAGACAACTGAAAAAAAGAGTTGAAGAACGAAAAAGTACCAGACAGTGCCTTTTTATGGATTTTCATTAAATAAGGATGATGCATGTGGAATTTTCAACCAGGAATTTCTAACATACAGATTTTTATATTATAAAAAATTGTGTTTAATTTTAGAAAACTCAAAAAGTGCCAGTTGAAGTAAGAATAGTAAAAAAAAAAATTACAAAACATTATTTAATTTCATGTTCCTAAGTTCAATATTATAGAATATTCAAAAAATATCAGTTAAAGAACAAAAAAGTGCCAGAAAATACTCCAGTTTAAATCACTCACTCAAGTCCCTGATTGCTTAGTTTTATGTTTCAGGTTCATTATAATAGAAAACTCAAAAAGTACCAGTTGAAGAATGAAAAATTACCAAATGGTCCCCTTTTATAGAATCGCTTAAACTCCGGTCTCCACATGCTTAATTTCATGTTTCTAGGTTTAGGTTAGGTTAGGTTACGTGGGTTGCTCGCTAGCAAGCCCATTGTGATACCCTTAGAATTACCATTCCCTAGCGATGAGAGAATGGTTACCCTCCCTAATTTCGTTGACTACTTGGTTCGTTCGGTCTCCATGTAAACCAGCCGGTGCTTTTAATAAAACCAATCATGTTTATCAGTGACGCATCTCTGAGACAGTCTAGATCATGAAAAAGAGCTCTACCCAGATAGAGTAGTCTGTGCTCTTGTAAGGCTGGACAGTCACATAGAAAGTGTTGTACCGATTCCACTTCCTCTTCGTCCAAGCAGCTTCTACAGTAGCTATGATTTGGGTAGCCCATACGTTCTGACATATGTCCAATCATACAGTGCCCAGTAATTATACCAGTTAGAAGCCTAATCGAGTTCTTACCAAGAGATAAGAGGGTCTTAGTCCTGTCCGTTGTCAGAGTGGGCCAGAGCAGTCTCGATATTCTACAAGTGGTGAGATTTGACCACCTGAGTTCCGTCTCACTCAGAGCCCATTCATCTATCAGTTTTGATAGGGTCGTCAGGGGAGCGTGAATATTCTTTTGCGCAAGGGTTAAGTCCAGGGACGACCCTTTGGTTGCGCATTCATCAGATATTTCATTTCCCCGGATGCCCTCATGTCCTGGAACCCATATCAACTCAACGTGATGTTGTGTCAGTTGTGCCAACGATTGAATGCAATTGAGAAGACATTCCGACTTAATGACATTGGAGTTAAGAGCCTTGATTGATGCAAGGCTGTCCAAGTATATATGTATAGTCGAATTTTCGAGATTTAGCTCCCGGATTCTTCTCGCGGCAGTATAGATGGCATATATCTCTGCCTGAAGGACCGTGCAGGTGTCAGGTAGTCGAAGAGACAGTAGAAGATTTAGTTTATCGGAGAAGATTCCCGATCCCGTGCCTCTTTCTGTCTTTGAGCCATCTGTGTAGATTGAGATCACGTCATCCCTTAGAACAGTATTCGCGGCCCAATCATCCCTTGTCGGTATTTTGGTCTTGAATGACCTATTAAAATTCAGTGTAGATAGAATGTAATCTGTTTCCTGCCCCATGATAGGCCTGCCTATCTTTTGTAGGATGGTGCCATGACCGTTCGACTCTTTAAGTCGTAGAGCAGATTTAGCAGAAATGCATTTGATGTATATATCAAGGGGAGTTATGTTCAGCATCGTCTCTAGACTAGCCTGAGGGGTGGAACTCAAACAGCCAGTGATTGCAAGACATGCCAATCTTTGTACCTTGTTCAGAATAGAGAGATAAGTCTTGGTATCCACCGCTCTCCACCAAACAAGAGCTCCGTAGGTCAAGATAGGTCTTATGACCGCGATGTACATCCAATGCACAATGTATGGTTTAAGACCCCATCTTTTCCCAAAGGTTTTCTTACATATATAGAAGGCACATAATGCCTTCTTCATTCGACTCTCAGCATTACGTTTCCACGTGAGTTTAGAGTCTAGGATTACGCCAAGATATTTGGCTTCGCTTGAGGTGTTCAAAATGGTACCATCCAAACGCGGAGGTCTGAATTCTGGAATTTTGTACCTCTTGGTGAAAAGAACCAGTTCAGTTTTGGCCGGGTTGACACCCAGACCGTTTTCCTTGGCCCATGATAGTAGAACGCTGAGGGCTGATTCCATGAGTTCACTTATTGTGGGAAGAAACTTCCCTTGAATAAGGAGCACGACGTCGTCAGCATATGCGACTACTTTGAAGCCCATCCTACTGAGTCTGAAAGGATTTTATTCACGACAAGATTCCACAGGAGTGGAGAGATAACACCACCTTGTGGTGTGCCCCTTGTCACGACTTTCCTTGTCTTGCCAATACCCATATTAGAGTTAATGGCCCTACTCTTAAGCATGTTTTCTGTCCAGTTTTTTATCCGCTGATCGACACCTAGGTCACCCAGTGCATCGACTATTGCGGATATGTTCACGTTGTTAAACGCACCTTCAACGTCCAAGAAAGATGCCATAACATATTCCTTTATGTCAAGTGCCTTCTCTACGGTTCCGACAACGTCATGTAAGGCTGTCTCCACCGACCTTCCTTTCAGGTATGCGTGTTGTGCTCTACAGAAGTTATCAGGAGAGATAATGTTCCTGACATGGATGTCGACCAATCTTTCCAATGTTTTCAATAAAAACGATGACAGACTGATCGGCCTATAGTCTTTGGCGGTACTATGGTTTACTTTTCCCGCTTTGGGGATAAATACCACTGTAACCTCTCTCCATACTTTAGGAATGTATCCTGTTTCCAGGCTGCTCCTAAATATCATAATTAGCCATGGCATGATAGTGGTGATCGATTTTTGGAGTAGTGCTGGGAATATGCCATCTGGCCCTGGGGTTTATAGGAAAGATGAAGGATGACACCGCCCAAGAAATTTTCTCCATACTAACAATGGAACTGACTAATTCACTTATGTGGATTCGAGAAGCTGCGAGGTGCTCCAAAGTGGAGCCTTCATTTTCATCATCTCTGCAACCCGGAAAGTGTGTCTCCATAAGTAGTTCCAGAGTTTCGGTGCTACTTTCAGTAAAGTTACCATCCGGTTTCATCAGGAATCCAGGCGTACCGGGGTCTTTGGATAGCACCTTACGTAGACGTGATGCCTCCGTGGTACTCTCAAGCTCCTCCCAGAAACGCTTCCAGGATTCCTTCTTACCCCTTCTGGTTTCCCTCTTGAAAGTATTGAAGCTTTGACGATAGTCGTCCCAGCTTAACGGTTTCTGACCCCTCTTCGCTTTATGAAATAGTTTCCTACATTCTTTCCTTAGCTGCATTAGTTTAGGATTCCACCATGGTTGCCGGAATTTCCTAGGTACCTGCCGCATCCTACATGAAGCATAGTAGGCTTCCCTTAAAGTCCTGGATAGATAATCTACTGAGTCGTCCAAGTCCTGTGTACCATGCAGTCCATCCGTTTCCGGAGGTGGTATGGTATCAATCAGATTACCGAATTTGACCCAGTCGGTTTTCCTAGGATTTCTAAAGGGGTTTTCCCTAGCCATCGTAAGCTGTATCGTAAAGATTATTCTGTGATGATCAGAGAATGAGCACTCGAGTGAAACTCTCCAATCAAGAATTCTGACTGAGTCAGTGTTCCCTACCAAAGTAATATCAATGACCTGTTCCCTGATCCTATTGAAAAACGTTGGTCTATTACCCCTATTGCAAACACTAAGGTTAGTAGTTAGAAGGTATTGAAGTAAACACTCACCCCTGTCATTTATATCCGAGCTCCCCCACAGAGTATGATGGGCATTAGCATCACATCCTATGACAAGATCATGGCCCCTTGTATCACACCATTCTATTAGTGTGCGTACGGCACGTGAGGGCGGATTGTCTTCGTCGTACGGTAGGTACACAGATGATATAATTAGAGTTGGTAGCCCCTGTCGCTCTAATGCAACTACCGTTAAATCACCAGAACTGTAATTAGATAGAAGGAAAACTTTAATGTCTTTCATGACCAAAATACAGCTCCTTATTTTACCTTCAGGGATTGGAGAGAGGAGCACATAGTTTCGTGACCAGACGCCTCGAACTTTACTGGCTGCAAGCCAGGGTTCTTGGATTAAGGCCACGTGGATAACTTCCTTCTCCATAAAGCGCAGCAAGTCGTCCGTTACTGCTTCGGAGTGGTGCAGATTAATCTGTACCATCCTCAGGCCGCTTGGACTCATCACTGCGTTTCTCTGCGGGCAAGATCAACCGAAGTTGGTTGAGCCCGTACTTTATGACGCCTTGAGAGG